AAAAAAAATATATATATATATATATATATATATATATATATATATCACTGATTTTTACAATCAAATTTGGATTGAGGCCCATGATGCATAGAGCATACAGTGAGAGAGAAATAACAGAACTTGAAGACAGTTTATTCATGTACGTCCTTAGGCCAGACATAAATTTGTTTCCTAAAATCCTGTTAACACTTCAGACAGTGAGGCAAAAAAGAAGCTGATTATTTTCAGATGGAGCTCATCATGCATCATTCTAGATGAGATTGGCATATGTTTGCGTGTGAGGGACAAATAGAGACGAGATTGAAAGAGAGAGAAATAATAACAGAATATTTCCCATCTGTGCATCCTGTTTAGTCCCTTTGAATCACTGATGAAAAGATAAATTGCACCTCTCTTTCCTTCCAATTCCCTTCGCCCTCACTCTCCCCTCTCCTTCTTCTTTTCCCATGCAGTTCCCTATAAAGCGTCGATGCCTGATAAGGAGTATTGTGTGGTTCCTCCCTGCTTCTTCCACTGACCGTAAACTTCACTGGCTCCCATTGACTTTTCCCATCATTTCCCTCCTCATCTTGTTCCTCCCTGCTTCCTCCGCTGACCGGAAGCTTAAATGGCTCCCCGTTGACTTTTCCCTTCGTTTCCCTCTTCATCTCATTCTCACACAGACCTGCCAGGGCCTGGATGTCCACACAGCAAAAACAGCAAAGAAAAAGTCACATTCTGGGAGTAAAAATTCAATTAATGTATAATCTTTCACACTAAAGTTGAATATAAACACGTACTTGCGTTCAAAAATGCAAGACGAAGCATAAAGGAACGTCATAAGAGGCCATTCACACAGAATGCAGTTTTGCACTCAACTGCACTCCTTTTTTATTGTTTTTTAAAAGCACACAGCTGTCATATTTGAATGTTGCACCTTGCAACGAGGCACTCAAGTTCAAAAATACTTTGTACGATAATTCGGAATTACTGCACGTTTTGGCAAATTGGTTGATTATTTATACGAATAGGAAATCTAATTTGTGCGTTTTCGTACGATTTGCTTATGCCCATCTGACAGTTAGGAGTAGGGCTGTACTTTTTATGCTGCTTTTCTAAAAATCACACTTTTCTGTACGAATCACCTTGTACAAATTTACACAAAATTGCCACCTCATAAGTAGCGCCTGATACTGTGTTCTAAAAACATGTTGCTTAAGTTAAAATAAGTTTTCTTATAGCAATTTGTAACTATTTATGTTTTGGTGATTTGGTGGATAATTTGTATAAATTCATAGAGTCTCATTAGGTTTGGGGCTAGATTGCTTTTTTAAAAAAAACTTTTGTACATTTCCGTACAAATCACATTGCATGAATGTATATGAAATCACCACCTCGAGATTGGGTTGGTTTAACTTTTAAAAAATGAGACCTTGCTTTTTTTCATATTCCACGTTTTTTAATGCAAAAATGCATGCACCACCCCAATAAGCCATTCACACAGAGCGCATCAATCATGCGCTAGGAGGATGTATTTGTTGCGCTCACATCTTGCGTCTTTTGAGGTGACTTGTGCATGACACGTCATTCTAAAAGCATAGCACTCAAGTTAAGAAGTTCAACTTTCAAAAAAACTCATCTAGAGACCTTGCTTTTCAACAAATGTTAGCATTTTCTTGCCATCTCACATCTTTGGTAAATGTGTTATTTATATCCTGAAGTCATTAAGTCGGTGAAACACACCATGGTTGTTGACCACAAAACTTCAGAGGACAGCAGCTGTTTTGTGAAGTGAAAAATTATTGTCCTCACAAGCAAAATCAAATCAGCTGACTGTTTCTGCTTGAGGAGAAGAAAACAAATTCATATGTTTTTGATTATGTACTACAAAGGAAACTATAGACGATAGAGAAGCATTTCCTCAAGCTCCCTTGCATACAAAGAAAAAAAGCTAAGTTTCAGGAAATAAGGGAGTAGGCTGGTTTCCCATCGCTTTGCTATTTCTGTCACGGAGAGAGATGTTTTGGAGTGCATCATGTCATTATCCTGAATCTTTTCCTTTCTCTAATTTAGACACAGAACAGGATATGGCACAATTCATCTGCTGGACTCATTTTGGCAAAGCATTAGACTGGCACGAACAAATTCAGTGAAGTTCAAGCTGCAGTGTCAATGTGTAGCCATGCTTATCTCCACACAGACACACTAATGGCGTCTATTTTTTCCAGATATAATGGCAGAGCTGGCTTTGTTCTGGTGAAGTGGTACCATGATAAATGGATGTAGTGTAGTTAGAGAAGGAAAAATCATTAGAAGCAGCAATGGTGTATACTTAAGCTTAGCAATGTGGCCTAATTTATCTGAACGAACAAACTTCCTCAATTTTTTCCACAACTGTTTGCATTCAATAAATAATGACTTATAATTACTATGATAAAAATATTAATTCACTGCAGTTTGAAAAAAAATTAAAAAACAAATTTCACAAATTTCACATTAACAAATCACAGTCACAGTGATTTGTTAATGTTTCAACAAGACTTTAGTAACCACTTTATGCTACTTGAAACTGTATAATTATCACATATGAAACCATATTGCTGAAAAATTATGATACCAGGTGTGCATAATTATCAACAAATTCCGGAGGTCCTTGTAGTTGAAAAGGGTGGCTTTGAATTCTCTCCTGGAGTTCTATAAAACCACATTCCCTCTTAAAATAGAAGGAAACATAAGTAGTAACACCAAATATAATAGTACGAGCCCATAAAACAACAAACAAACTCTGAAAGATTTTTCAGCGACTTAAGTGCTGTGAGTTCTTAAAGGGGTCTTAATCAAGCAAAAATACACTGAAGAATCAATCAGGTTAAGACAAAAGCAACCTCAAGGTGTTTCATTTATGAATATTAACTAAAACATAAGACATCTGAATAATGGTCTGTGAGGAATGGCCTAAAAATAATGAAGAGCTCAATGCCTGATTAATATTAATGGTGTGTTAAATAAGTGGAAGCACAAGACGTCTCAAGTGTGACTGATGTCCTCGTATGGCTCAGTAAGGCTAAAGCTGATTTATATACCAGTCAGACTAATGAACACTAAAAGCAACGTTCTGCTTCACATTGATCACTATATCTTTCCGCTTTAAGCTGCAGACCGAACCGTTATGCATCATACTGTAACTGAACCGATCCGGAGACTAATACAGCCAGCTTTTTGGAGCAGCTGGAATGAAAACCTGCTTTTAATTTACTGTGAACAACCCTATTTTGACATCATTTATATTTAACATAATGTTTGTAAAAAAAAATAATTGCATAAATAAAAAAAGCATTTTTATTATAGGTTTGAAAAATCAGCAACAATTTGGAATTTTGACTTAAAAAACAAAATTAAAAGTTATATCAAAATAATAAATTAAAATTAAATTAAAAAAAATTACACTAAACAGCAGGGCTACCAGCTTTGGTCTTCAAACTGTAGATTCCTTTATACCAACAACTGCATAACATCTAGGGGACTGGAGGGGGTCAAAGAGTTGAACCAGCGCAGTATGAGACACACTGTCCTGAAAGAAAAGAGATATTTTAAATGTAGAATCAAATGTAAAAGTCTGAAATCCACATCCAATGATTTAGATTTCACTATCAATAAATAATGACTTATAATTACTATGATAAAAATATTAATTCACTGCAGTTTGAAAAAAAATTAAAAAACAAATTTCACAAATTTCACATTAACAAATCACAGTCACAGTGATTTGTTAATGTTTCAACAAGACTTTAGTAACCACTTTATGCTACTTGAAACTGTATAATTATCACATATGAAACCATATTGCTGAAAAATTATGATACCAGGTGTGCATAATTATCAACAAATTCCGGAGGTCCTTGTAGTTGAAAAGGGTGGCTTTGAATTCTCTCCTGGAGTTCTATAAAACCACATTCCCTCTTAAAATAGAAGGAAACATAAGTAGTAACACCAAATATAATAGTACGAGCCCATAAAACAACAAACAAACTCTGAAAGATTTTTCAGCGACTTAAGTGCTGTGAGTTCTTAAAGGGGTCTTAATCAAGCAAAAATACACTGAAGAATCAATCAGGTTAAGACAAAAGCAACCTCAAGGTGTTTCATTTATGAATATTAACTAAAACATAAGACATCTGAATAATGGTCTGTGAGGAATGGCCTAAAAATAATGAAGAGCTCAATGCCTGATTAATATTAATGGTGTGTTAAATAAGTGGAAGCACAAGACGTCTCAAGTGTGACTGATGTCCTCGTATGGCTCAGTAAGGCTAAAGCTGATTTATATACCAGTCAGACTAATGAACACTAAAAGCAACGTTCTGCTTCACATTGATCACTATATCTTTCCGCTTTAAGCTGCAGACCGAACCGTTATGCATCATACTGTAACTGAACCGATCCGGAGACTAATACAGCCAGCTTTTTGGAGCAGCTGGAATGAAAACCTGCTTTTAATTTACTGTGAACAACCCTATTTTGACATCATTTATATTTAACATAATGTTTGTAAAAAAAAATAATTGCATAAATAAAAAAAGCATTTTTATTATAGGTTTGAAAAATCAGCAACAATTTGGAATTTTGACTTAAAAAACAAAATTAAAAGTTATATCAAAATAATAAATTAAAATTAAATTAAAAAAAATTACACTAAACAGCAGGGCTACCAGCTTTGGTCTTCAAACTGTAGATTCCTTTATACCAACAACTGCATAACATCTAGGGGACTGGAGGGGGTCAAAGAGTTGAACCAGCGCAGTATGAGACACACTGTCCTGAAAGAAAAGAGATATTTTAAATGTAGAATCAAATGTAAAAGTCTGAAATCCACATCCAATGATTTAGATTTCACTATTTATTTATGCATTTATTTATTCAATATTTAAGGCATAAATCTGCATGGCATGTGAGATGTTTCTCAATATAAAATCAAGGAGCATGACTTTGCAATGCTTTTCAATCATTTGTTCGAGAATCAGGCTACACTGGTCTCTCTATGATTCACTAAAAAGATCCGACTCATAAGAATCAATTGATCAGGAATGGACTACACTTTTCGTGCTGTATGTTTTTGATTCAATAAAAAGGACCAACTCATAAAAGTTTGTCAGGAATTGGTACACTGGTCAAGCTGTATATTTCTGATTCACTAACAAGAACATGTTCAAAAGAATCATTTGTTCAGGAATCAGAATACACTGGTTGTGCTGTAGGTTTCAGACTCATAAGAGTAATTCATTCGAGAATCAGACTACCTGGTGACTTCGTATGATTTTGATTCACTAAAAACAAGCAGATCATAAGATCAGTTAGTTCAGGAATCATGTTACACTTGTTCTCAACCCTGGTTGTGCTTATATATCCACTCAGGATATATTATTTTAGATGATCCGTCAGTTAAATCAAGTTCCCAGCATATCCATAAGTAAAAAGAGCATTGGACCTGATCAAAATAATCAGCTTAACTGAGCACAGCTTGTTTCAATCCAAAATCCATATTACAGCTTTCCATAATCACTGACCAAAACACATTAATATACTTGGCAGCACACCCAGAGTACCATGTTATGAAATGGTTTATACATAACAAAACCCTCCACAGGCCAAATTGTAAAGCAGACTCTGATTTCAATGTTGTTAGCAGAGTTCACAGAGTCATCAATGAGAAACCTTATCATGCTGCCAAGCCCTTTAATGTCTGACATACACAAATCATAGACCTCTATAGAAAAAAACCACACAGATCTGATATTGGGGAGGTTTTACTTGCTTTACATTACACGACTGATAAGTGACCCCTGTAAGATCACGTGGAAATTGATCCCAAAGAAACTTGCTGTCACTGTTTTGTGAGTATAAACAAAATTATTCTGTCATGCCCTAAATTTTCAGTCTAACGTTCTTCACAGATGTCTGAGTCTGACACTCCTGACTGTCGTCGTGAGGAGGTTTGAGGTTTTATGTTCAAAGCCTGGTGGGCAAGAAGGAAATGGACGTGTAACTTAAAACCTCTGAACTCCTGTAAGTTAGAAATCTTTAAAAAAAAACAAGTTTTTTTTTTTTACTATTTTGGATCTGCTTTATGTGGCTAAAGTCTGTTGGTATAAATGCTGTGAGAGTAAGTTGTTGACTTGGGCAACCTGTGTTGTGGTCCTGAAGTAAAGCCAGAAACAAAAAGCCCCTCACACTTCTCTAATTATATGAGGATTAAACATCTTAACATGCACAAATGTAAGGGATAAACATACTGCAGTGCAGAGGGTTAACAAGTACTGTTATCTGTCCTACAAATGGTTTGTTACCTGCTCTTTCAAGTAGCAAAGTCGGTCAAGGAGGATGAGACCCTCTATACACGGAGCCAAAGTGACTTTCAACTGAGGAAGATGAAAAGCAGCATGAGACAGATATGGAGTTCATAATGAAAATAAAGGACGTACAAGTTTCTCTGTCATACTCACCATGTTAAAAGCCACCATCTCATTCATTCTGGGACTGTAGAGTTCATGATAGCTCTGAATGTCACCGTCAGACAGCTGAAGACAACAAGAGAAGAAAAAAAATTGAAAGCAATTTTAAAGAAATAAAGGAATAAGATGATTCCCTAAATATATATGTGTGTGTGTGTGTGTAAAACATTTTTACTTTTTTTTTTATAGTTTTAGAAATAATATTTTATTTGCAAGTAAATATATGTACATAACTATAACATATATGTACTTTAGACTAGTAAAAATGTAGTTTAAACTCACACACATATAATGCAAAATAAAAAGAAATGTAAAATATGACAAATATTTTATATGTAATATTAAATATTTTTATATTTTACAGGATTAACAGAATTAACATTGTATTTTTTTATTAGATGGCAAAGTAAAAAATAAAGTTTTATATATAAAAAAAATACAAATTTATATGAAAATATTTTACAGGATTAACAGAATTAACATTGTATTTTTTATTAGATTGCAAAGTAAAAAATAAAGTTTTATATATAAAAAAATACAAATTTATATGAAAATAATATATATTTATATAAATCTATTTATATAATCTCTACTCTTGACTAGTAAAAAATGTTATGTATATTATGGCAAAATTTTACCAAATCAGCATATTATGTGACTCATAAGACTTCATATATTTCATCTTCACCATCACAGAAATAAATTACATTTTAAAATATATTAAATAATATATTTATATCAAATATAATACAGTATACATTATTTTACTGTTTATTAACAGAATTCTGCAGATTTTCCCTCAAAATCAGGGTACAAAAAAGTCCAATGACACAATGTGGGCCTGGTGAAGCCTTTTTAACGGTCTCTTGCTATCTGTTCCCATATTTCCCTACGTGTCAAACATATTTTAGTCTGTTTATCTCATTAGCTTTATTGTGTAATTCAGATACATGTGGGCAGACTGAGAAAACATTCAATGTAACGTGAGAACATTTGGTTATTACTGTGGTGTCATCCAGATCCAGCTTCCTAAGTGCTCGTCTGACATAGTCCACAAACGACGAGGCTTTGGAGTACACATTCCCAACACGTTTCTCACTGCCAATAGAAAATTAAATACCCATCAGATAATTCAAAAATGATTTTTTTAAACAGATTTTTTTATGTAGTTTAAAAACTAAATGTACAGACAGTAAGTCACATGTAGGGGGTGAACTTTGCACTCCTTGTTGACTTGCACATTACCGTAACCTGATGGTTTGGCTTTGACTCACAGAAGCTTATTAAACCTGAAAACAGGGCTTTAGGATTTGAGTCACGAGCATCAGTCAGCACTGAATCAGATCTGCTCTCTGCAGCCACGATCAAGTATCTCAATAAACATTTCTCATCCTCCGCAAAAAGGAAGGAAGGACCAGAGGGAATCTGGAGCCTCTTTATTCTCTCCTCTAGTTTACTAAAGCTCTCCGGTGACTAAAACAAAGACAGGCGGTTGTTTTCTGTCTAATGAGCTGATGATGTGGTGAGAGATATCTGATCCTGGTCTTTTGGAGGGGAACGGCGTCAGTGTGGGAGCTCAATATTGGTCATCGTGTGTGTTTCCGACTGAGAGTCGCTCATCAGGAGATCCGGGGAGTGTGTTTTTGTTTTTACAGACTGTTTTTCAAAGCCAGGACTTTTTATTTTATTTTATTTTTTTATTGAACTATAATTTACCGCCAAACCTTCAATAGTTGGTAATATGGTTCTTTAAATCGTGAAGATTTGCTTTGGCAACAATTAGTTTAGTGTCTACATTTATCTGAAAGCCATAAAACAGCCTGAGCTACTGAACTATTAATATTAATAGATTGTATGACACAGTAAAAAAAACAATTCAGCCTGACACAAAATCTATAATGCACTTTATATGATGGTGCATATGATGGACAGAACAAGAGATATAGACTTAATGATTTAAATTAATAAAACAATTACATTTTAGATACTTAGATAAATATATTTAAGTAAATATATCTAAATATATCTTTAGATAAATATATAATACACATAATTAATGTATTTATTTATGTATATTTATATCTGTAATCTATATAATATGTAGTCTAATAAAAGTGTAGTGTGTGTGTGTGTGTGTGTGTGTGTGTGT